TTGTTCCCGGAACCACTCCAATCTCAAAGGCCCCTTACCGCATGGCACCATCTGAGCTACGTGAGTTAAAGGTGCAATTACAAGAGTTGCTTGATATGGGATTTATTAAACCTAGTGTATCTCCTTGGGGTGCACCAGTGTTATTTGTGAAGAAAAAAGATGGTAGCTTGCGATTGTGTATTGACTATCGGGAATTAAATAAAGTTACTGTGAAGAACAAGTATCCTCTACCTCGCATAGATGATTTATTTGATCAGTTGCAAGGTGCTAAATACTTCTCAAAAATTGATTTGAGATCAGGGTACCATCAATTGAAGGTTAAAGCTAGCGATATACCCAAGACTGCTTTTAGGACCCGGTATGGCCATTATGAATTTTTGGTGATGCCGTTCGGGTTAACTAATGCTCCTGCCTTCTTTATGGATTTGATGAATAGGGTGCTCAAGCCATTTCTGGACAAATTTGTTGTGGTATTTATTGATGACATTTTGATATATTCAAAGAGTGAGGAAGAGCATGCTCAACATCTGAGGATCATCTTGCATACCTTGAAGGAAAATGAATTGTATGCCAAGCTAAGTAAATGTGAATTTTGGCTTAAGGAGGTATCTTTTCTTGGTCATGTGATTTCTGGAGATGGGATTTCTGTGGACTCGGGTAAAGTTGAAGCGATAACGCAATGGCCGAGACCCACTAATGTCACAGAAATAAGGAGTTTTCTGGGTTTAGCAGGTTATTACAGGAGATTTGTGAAAGACTTCTCATTAATAGCTATGCCATTGACTCGGTTAACTCGGAAGGGTATAAAGTTTGATTGGGATGAGGAGTGTGAGAAGAGCTTTCAGGAATTAAAGGAAAGATTGGTTAATGCACCTATCTTAACCCTACCATCCGGGGAAGGAGGATTTGTTATTTATAGTGATGCATCAAGAAGAGGATTAGGATGTGTGTTGATGCAAAATGATAGGGTGGTAGCCTATGCGTCCCGAAAATTGAAGCCCCATGAAGTTAATTACCCCACTCATGACTTAGAACTAGCAGCTGTGGTATTTGCTTTAAAAATTTGGAGGCACTACCTATATGGAGAATCTTGTCAAATATTCACGGATCACAAGAGTTTGTAGTACCTCTTTACCCAAAAGGAATTAAATATGAGACAACGACGATGGTTGGAGCTAATCAAAGATTACGACCTCTCTATTAATTATCATCCGGGTAAGGCTAACGTGGTAGCCGATGCTTTAAGTCGTAAGTCCTCCACGGTTAATGTGACAATGGTAACCACTCAAACCCAATTGTTGAAAGACTTGCAAGATTTGGAAGTTGAGGTTATTTCGCAAAGCAAGGAGGAATTTTGGCAACTATGACTGCAAAACCAGTATTATTAGATCGCATCAAAGCGGCCCAAGTTCTAGATCCCGAGCGGATTAAGATTCGGGAAAAAGTTCAAACGGGTAACCCAAGAGAGTTCGGTATTCATGATGATGGATCCCTATATCTCAAGTCCCGACTATGCATTCCAAATGATGTTGAGATAAGGAAGGATATTTTAAAGGAAGCCCATCAGTCTCACTTCTCAGTACATCCAGGTGCTACCAAAATGTATAGAGATATGAGAAATAATTTTTGGTGGAGTGGTATGAAGCGGGATATTGCTGACTTTGTGGCTAGATGCATGGTATGTCAACAAGTCAAAGCTGAACACCAAAGACCTGCAGGATTACTGAAACCCCTAGAGATACCTCAGTGGAAGTGGGAACATATATCTATGGATTTCGTGAGTGGATTACCGAACAGTCAGCATGGGAAAAATACCATTTGGGTTATTGTGGATCTACTTACTAAGGTTGCACATTTTCTACCCATTAAAAAGACAACTCCATTGAATGACCTAGCTGAGTTGTATGTGAATGGAATCGTAAGGTTACATGGCGTACCTGTTAGTATAGTATCTGACCGGGACTCTAGATTTGTGTCAAAGTTTTGGAGAAGCTTACAACGAGCCATGGGGACTGAATTAAGATTAAGCACTGCATTTCATCCACAAACAGATGGGCAAACCGAGAGGACAATTCAGACTTTGGAGGATATGCTTCGAGCTTGTGTTTTGGATTTCAAGGGTAGTTGGAGTAAATACTTAACTTTGATTGAGTTTGCATATAACAATAGCTACCAATCAAGTATAGGGATGGCACCATTTGAAGCTTTATATGGAAGGAAGTGTAGATCTCCTTTATATTGGGATGAAGTTGGAGAAAGAAAGATCTTAGGACCAGAACTTGTACAACTCACAGTTGAGAAGATTAAATTAATTAAGAAAAGAATTAAAGCCTCTCAAGACAGGCAAAAGAGCTGGGCTGACTTGAAAAGAAGAGAATTGGAATTCAAAGTTGGGGATTTGGTGTATTTAAAGGTTTCACCAACTCGAGGAGTAATGAGGTTTGGAGAGAAAGGGAAATTAAGTCCACGTTACATTGGACCGTTTGAGATTCTGAGTAGAGTGGGTAGTTTGGCTTATGAGCTAGCACTACCACCACAATTAGCTGGAGTTCACAATGTATTCCATGTATCAATGCTACGAAGGTACATTGCAGATCCGAGTCATGTGGTGGAGTATCAACCACTACAAGTTAGGGATGACTTAACATATGAAGAAGTACCTCTTCGTATCATTGATCGGAAGGAACAAGTGTTGAGGTCCCGAGTAATCCCTTTTGTTAAAGTGCAATGGTCACATCATACCCCAACAGAAGCAACATGGGAAAAGGAAGATGATATGAAGGATAGATATCCTGAACTCTTCAAGTTTGAAGGTAAGTAAGTTTCGAGGACGAAACTCATTTTAAGGTGAGGAGATTGTAATACCCAATTTCTTATAAATGCAATTATGCTTAAGTTTTTTTAAGTGAAGTCAACAAGTCAAAGCTTCTTATTTTGATATTGGATAAAATTACCAAATTACCCTTCTTTACCCTTAAAGGTTAAGGAACCACATGAGTCTTGGATAAGCATCATATTTGAAAGAAGACAAGGAGAGCTAATTAGAGAGAGTTAGGGGAAGGGAAAACCTTGAAGCTTGGATCTCCATCTTCTTCAAGCTTAGATCTCTAAGATATTGGGTATTCTAGGTGAGTTTAACCTCTATCTTTTACTCTTTATGAGTGGATTTATCTTTGGAGCCCTAAGATTGATATTTGAAAATATTAGGGATTTTGACAAGGAGTATTTGGGCAAGCTAAATAGCTAAGATTTGGATGTTTTAGATAAGTGTTTATTCCTCTCAAAACTATTTTTACCCTATACTATAAATTAAGCTTGTGTTCCGAATTGTTATAATGAAGCTTGAGCTGCGTATTTTTGGACTAGAAACGTTGCTATGTAATCTGGACTGGAATTGTTGTAAACTGTGTTTCTGGACAGAAAGTATGGTCTTATTTAATCTGAACTGGAATTAATACCATGTGTAGTGATGGTTGAATGGTTTATGGTTGCTGTGTTGGTAGTAGTTGGTCTAGAGTTTGAATCTGCTTTGCTAATAAGGCCTTATGTTTGTTTTATATACGTAATATATGACTTATGTTTGTTTTATATATGTAATATATGCTTATAAAATGAATTATTTATTTAAAGTGAGACTTGAACTCTTAACCTCTTACTTATTAATTTAAGTTTCTTTCCAACTAAGCCATTTCAATCCCTTTGAAATTACTTTGGTTTAATAAATCATTCTATGATTTTTAAAGAGTTATGTACTAAGAAAATTATTATTTTGAGAATGGTTTATACCTTGCATATTTCTTAGTTTGATAAACTTATTATCTATTTTGGAAATAGGTACTTTGTTATGTGATTTTAAAGAAATGATTTTTGCTACACCGGGCTATTTGATTATAAGAACTATTTGGATCATTTGATAAAACTCATGAGGCAACCTACATTTTGTTGTTTGTTTTGTTTGGCTTGGAACGTTCCTAATTGCTCATTCTGAATCGTCGAGCTTGACTCATTCCGAATCGTCGAGCCTTTTGAATTATTTGTTGGAACGTTCCATCCGACTCATTCCGAATCGTCGAGCTTGACTCATTCCAAATCGTCGAGTCTTTTTGGACCATTATACCAATAATGGCATGTGCCACAAAATATAATGGTGGTTGTAGGTTGCCAATGGGTCATATGTTAAGGAATGATTTGTGCTTTTGAAAGTCTTTTGTTATGAAATATTGTTGATGCCCATGTAGCTAAAGTTTCTTGTTTTGTGAGCTTATGTATTGTATGATGGAGTATATTATGACTTCGATATGGTTTAAAGATCAAGTTTTGCCTCTAGTTATTACTCTAAAGCTTTTTGTATTATATTGGGGTTACTTGATCGGGGGTTGAGAGGAGTACCACTTACTGGGCATTAGCTCATTATTTGTATTTGTTTTTCCTCATGTTTCAGAGTAGTTAAGGACATGTGAATAGCACGAGCACAAGTGGTGGGGTCTCGAAGGTGACTTTTGGAAACTAGGAGACTTAGTCCTACTATTGGAGCTTATCACAGATTTTTGTTTCTTTTGGATATTCCCGTTGACCCTTTGTATTTTGGTAAACCATTGTGCTTGGTTTTGGTGCTTGTAATGCATTTTGTCATGCTAGTCTTGATTGTAAATATTTAATAGTGGTGATTTGGTGAGTTTTTGGGAAGAACTAGTTGTTTATATTGGCCATAAAAGTGAGGAATTGTTATGTATTAAAGTGTTGTTATGAAGGTTCCGAGAGGTATATATGGCTAGGTTTCGTATTGTTACAGGTTTTCGTGTAGCGATACGGCCGGGTCATGTCCTAGAAGCGGGGCGTGACAGGTTTCCTTTGGATATATTGGTCACTGGATACTGTGATCCTCGAGTCTCTTTTTCTGGAAAGGACCGTTTAGGTGGAATTCCTCTGTTTGCCCTAGGAGGTAACACATATCTTTCTGTAGTTTCTTCTTGTGGTAGTTCACCCCGCTCTACCATTTCCTACCGGACTAGTTCAACCTGTTCTGTTGTTTTCTCACCAAGGTCAAAAGAAATAGATGGACTTCCAGAAGATTCAATATGTTCCGGGGAGTGAGAAGTAGAAGAGTGAGTATCAGAAGAGTAAGTATTACTCACCTCAGGCATCAGGTTGGGAGGAGCATTTTCAATGGCACTAACGATTGGTTCCACAGATTGTGTGGGAGTATTAAGTGACTCATCTTTGGTACTATGATTAATCTCCTCTGATGATGAAACATATTTCAACCAACTTACTGTGTCTAAGCATCCCTTCTCCCCCTGACCACTGTGTTGGGAATTGTAGTAATACTCAGTTTCAAGAAAGTCACAGTTCATGGTGGTGAACATTTGACGTGTCTTTGGATTATAACACCTGTAACCTTTTTGGTTTACTCCATAACCAATGAATACACACTTCTCAGCACAAGGGTCAAGTTTGGTTCGATTCGTTTTGGGTATATGGACAAAAATAGAACAACCAAAGATTCGTGGTTGAAGAGTAAGAGCAGGGGGTACTTTGGTAAATCCTGATAGAGTTTGTAATGGAGTTTTTAGTTTGAGGATGTTGGTTGGGAGTCGATTGATAAGGTAAGCGGCTGTTGCGATAGCTTCAGGCCAAAAAGATTTAGGAACTCGTGACTCAATCAGAAGAGCCCGAGTTATTTCTAACAGAATACGATTTTTTCGTTCAACTACACCATTCTGTTCTGGAGTATGTGGGCAAGTAGTTTGATGAATTATCCCCTTTTTTTGAAAAAATTGTTGCATATGGGTGTTAACAAATTCCCCTCCATTATCAGATCGAAAAATCTGAATATTCTTTTGGAACTGGGTTTGAATCATGGCATAGAACATGGTGAATTTATCAAAAACTTCTGACTTGTGTTTCAGGAAGTAAACCCAGGTCATTCGAGTACAATCATCCACAAATATTAAGAAAAAACGAAAGTTTTGTCCCCCAATAATCGGAGCCGGACCCCAAACATCAGAATGGATCAATGAAAAAGGTAAATCAACCCTTGTGTTATTTGGTTTAAAGGTTTGTCTATGGCTTTTTGCTAACACACACGTCTCACATTTTGACATATTATTGGAGGGAAATAATTTTGGGAGCAAAATATGTAAATACCCATTAGATGGATGTCCAAGTCTCCTATGCCATAACCAGGCTTCACAATCTACGGTTCCATGAGCCAGCATCACAGTACCGCGTTGAGTCACTTCGTCCACGTAATACAACCCTTGGCGTTCAGTGCCACGCCCAATGATCACTCCCGTCCTGATATCCTGTAAGATACAAAAAGTAGGATGCATTAAAACCGTGCAGTTGAGCTCCTTTGTCACATGACTGATTGATAACAATTTATGTGATAACGAGGGAACATAAAGACAGTTGGAAAGTTTAATGGTTGGTGAAATTTCAATAGTTCCTCCCCCTTCAACATGCATTATTTCTCCATTAGCCGCTTGAATGTGTGTTTTTTTTGTTTTAGACGATGAGATAATATCCGACAATTCAAATGTCATTGTGTCGGTAGCACCACAATCAAGAATCCATGATTTATCCTGCTTTCCACAATAATTTTGAGCCATATTTGCCTTCCCAACACATTTTTGGGCTGTTTTAATTGTTTTTAAATAGCCCCTCCCAATAAATTCATCAGTTGTGTTCTCTAGGGTATTTTCTACCAATTTTAAAAACCTTTGGGGAAAATATTTAGGATTCAAAAAGGAAGGGCTTGAGGAAAAATCCCCAAACCCTTTACCTGTTTCATCATCCCTCTTTACTGCTGCCATACCACCGAATCCTCCTTCTCTGATGTTTCCTTGGCCGTCACCAATGTTGATGGTAGTGTCATTATTGCGTACAGCGGCGGCTGCCCTTCCCCCATTTGATCTAGTGGTTTTTCCACTTTGTTTATGTCCGTCATTCCACCATTCGGGGTACCCGACTATTTTGAAGCATTGTTCTTTGGTGTGTTTTGACATACCACAATGACTGCAATTTAACTGTGATTTATCTGGTCGGGATGATGATCCATTCGTCCTCCCTGTCTGGTCTGACCGGCGCTGCCCCTTTGAGATGAGCCCTAAGCCTTCGGCTTCACTTGGTCCTGTTACCGTTAAACCGGCCGCCACCCCTTGCTGTGATGAAGTAATAGCAGAAACTGCTCCAAGAATATTCTGGTGAGCAGTTTCATTCCGAACAGCGGCATAGGCACCTTCAGCTGAAGTCAGTGGATCCCATCGAAGTATTTCCCGTTTTATTGGGTCATACTGTCGGTCTATGGCATTGAGAAACTGGAATAACTTCTGTTCTGCCCGCAATTTGTTGTAGGTTGCAATATCAGCTGCACATGTCATGGGGTTTGGGTCTCTTCGTTCGATCTCTCCCCAAATTCCTTGCATTAAAATCCCAAAATCTTCAAGGGGTGCACCATTCTGCTTGATTTCATTTGTCTTGACGTGTAAGTCAAACGTCTGCAACTTGTCTTTTCCACTGCTATACGTAACTACGAGTGCATCCCACAGAGATTTCGCTGTGGGAAACTCAGTAAGGTTACTGGCTAAAGCCGGTTTGATGTTCTGTATTAGCCATGAGAACACCACTAAATCATCTTGTTCCCATTGCACATATTTCTCATCTTTTGGATCTGGCGGGGCTGGATTTCCGGATAGGTGGCTTAGAAGTGTTTTTGATTTCCCCCCAATGGCAACTCGAATCATTCGAGCCCATAGGGCATAATTTTGGTTGTTTAATTTGACGCTGATTTTGAGCCTATCAGAAAGGTTTTGTTTTTGGTTTTGGTTCTGGGAATTGAGGCCATTTTTTATGAGGTTTGCAAGCTGGGTTGTCAGGTCATCACTGTTGATGCCTGTTGTATGTGTCGAGCTACCGTCATCGGACATGGCGGCTTGACAGCGGAATTTGAAGGACTAGGAATGGGTATATGATGAGTAGTATTGAGCAGTTTGGTCCTAGAACCATACACACTGCTGTGATACCATGATAACAAGCATTGAAGAAGAAGAATTGTACATATTTTTGATGATGTTACAATGAAAGATGATATAGGAATTTATAGGTGAATACATTTGGTTATTAAAGGAAATAGAATAAATTTTAAGGCTGTAAATCAACTGTAATATCTCATCCATTATTTACTATGATATGATGAATCAGCTGATCCCTGCAATTGCTCATAGGATTATTCTTTTTCCTTTTTAACAATTATTGCGTCTTCAAACTCTGATTAAAAGTTAAAACATAGCCACGATGATTACGTTCATGAGAAACAAACCGATTTCATTCCACTACACCAAACATCTCTTGTGCATGATTCAATTGTTACCACAAGACAAAGCCAATCATCTTTAATAACAACTCTATAATTAATATAAATTCTAATGTAAGCATAAAAAACTTTGACATTTCCTTTCATCACATATATGTATCTATCTATACCTAACTGTTTTTATATTTGGAAAATTACGCGAGTATATATACTACTTACTAGTTACTAAATTCTCAATTCTCTAAACCCAATTTTGTATTTCTATTGGACACTTAGATTGCAATCTTGTAATTTGAATTAAGTTTTACTTTATGTTTGGACATTGGAATTTTAAATATGTAGTGTTGTCTTGTAGTTTGGACTCATTATTTATTGAGGAATTTGAAATATGCATCGTTGATGTGTTCATTCGATTTTAAATTTTAAATTAATAATTAATTAATTAATTAATTAATTGCGCTAAAGAACTAGAGAATGTTAATGTTCTCAAATTGACCGAACCAAACTAAACTACAATGTTAAATAGAATGGTTTCGTATTTTCAAAACTGAAAAATATAAATCAAACCGAGAAAAAAAAAAAGACCCGAACTGTAAATCGAAATTCCCACCCCTAATTTTTGGTTCTTTTAATTACTATTAATAGAATTCCATTAAGTAAATTCACAAGTTTTTCAAGATATTATTAGTATATCACACATTTATTGTAATAACATATTGAAAAAATATATCAATATGAGTGAATATAAAATAACTCTATGAGATATTTTCAACGACATTACTTTTATAAATTGATTTTATTTATTCTAAAAGAAATAAAGAAAAATGTATTTAAGCAATGTTTGGTTTATTATATTGGCAACATGTCTTGATTTTATTTATACAAAAAAGAAATAAAGAAAAATGTATTTAAGCAATGTTAGGTTTATTATATTGGCAACATGTCGAGAATAACCGTCTAAACAAATACACTGGGCATACCCAGAGAGAAATCCAACATTAAACCATACTTTGCACTACAAATCTTCACTAAATTGATAGATATGAAACCTTCCGTTGCCGGGAATCGAACCCGGGTCTCCAAGGTGAAAGCCAGATATCCTAATCGCTGGCCGACAACGGAACGCTTCCATGGATTATCTGTTGAAAATCATCTTATAAAATTATTAACTTATAATTGTATGGTTTAAATTTTAAAACCATCAAAGCTAAGTTGCGGTGAACGTAGATCAAACACGTGACCTTCAGATCTTCAGTCTGACGCTCTCCCAACTGAGCTATCCCCGCACCTCATAGAAACTTTTTATTCTTAATAAACGAACGTTTAGCTTTTTGTAACCATAAGATATTATGATACACATATTGCTTCGCATAGTCATTATTGCGTTTTCTAACTCTGATTAAAAGTTAAAATATAGCCACGATGATTACGTTCATTAGAAACAAACCGATTTCATTCCACTACACCAAACATCTCTTGTGCATGATAAAATTGTTACCACAAGCCAAGGCCAATCATCTTTAATAACAATTCTATAATAATTATAAAGTCTAATGTAAGCATAAAAAACTGTGACATTTCCTTTCATCACATATATGTATATATCTATACCTAAATGTTTTTACATTTGAAAAATTACCCGAGTATATATACTAATTACTAATTACTAAATTCTCAATTCTCTAAATCCAAATTTTTTATTTCTATTAGACACTTAGATTGCTATCTTGTAATTTGAATTAAGTTTTATCACTGTTATGTTTGGACATTGGATTTTTAAATATGTAGTGTTGTCTTGTTGTTTGGACTCATTATTGATTGAGGAATTTGAAATATGCACGTTGACGTCTTCATTCGATATTAAATTTTAAATTAATAAAAAATAATTAATTAATTAATTGCGCTAAAGAACTAGAGAATGTTAATGTTCTCAAATTGACCGACCCAAACTAAACTACAATGTTAAAAAGAATGGTTTCGTATTTTCAAAACTGAAAAATATAAATCAAATCTAGAAAAAAAAATGGACCCTAATTGTAAATCGAAATTCCCACTCCTAATTTTAGGTTTTTTTCATTACTATAAATACATTTCCATTAAGTAAATTAACAAGTTTATCAAGATATTATTGCATGTTCCTTAAATTACTATTGCAAGTTGATTAAGTCACTACTACAAGTCCTTTAAAAAAAATGTCACTACTACAAGTTCCTTAATTCATTTATGTTTGTCCATCAAAACATTATTACAAGTTCATTAAATTACTATTGCATACTCATTAAGCCACTATTGTAGGTATAGTAAGTCATCATAGGTCATCTATATTATTAATATATCACACATTTATTGTAAGAACATATTGAAAAAATATATCAATATGAGTGAATATAAAATAACTCTATGAGATATTTTCAACGACATTACTTTTATAGATTGATTTTATTTATACAAAAATAAATAAAGAAAAATGTATTTAAGCAATGTTTGGTTTATTAAATTGGCAACATGGCGAGAATAACCGTCTAAAAAAATGCACTGGGCATACCCAGAGAGAAAGCCAACATTAAACCATACTTTGCACTATAAATCTTCACTAAATTGATAGATATGAAATCTTCCGTTGCTGGGAATCGAACCCGGGTCTCCTAGGTGAAAGCCAGATATCCTAACCGCTGGACGACAACGGGACGCTTCCATGGATTATCTGTTGAAAATCATCTTTTGAAAATTATTAAATATAATTGTATGGTTTACATTTTAAAACCATCAAAGCTAAGTTGCGGTGAACGTGGATTAAACACGTGACCTTCAGATCTTCAGTCTGACGCTCTCCCAACTGAGCTATCCTCGCACCTTATAGAAACTTTTTATTCTTAATAAACGAACGTTTATGTTTTTGTAACCATAAGTTATTATGTTACACATATTGCTTCGCATAGTCATTATTGCCTCTTCAAACTCTTATTAAAAGTTAAAACATAGCCACGATGATTACGTTCATGAGAAAGAAACCGATTTCATTCCACTACACCAAACATCTATTATGCATGATTCAATTGTTACCACAAGCCAAAGCCAATCATCGTTAATAACAACTCTATAATTATTATTAAGTCCAATGTAAGCATAAAAAACTGCGACATTTCCTTTCATCACATATATGTATCTATCTATACCTAAATGTTTTTACATTTGAAAAATTACCCGAGTATATATACTAATTACTAATTACTAAATTCTCAATTCTTTAAATCCAAATTTTTTATTTCTATTAGACACTTAGATTGCTAACTTATAATTTTAATTAAGTTTTATCACTGTTATGTTTGGACATTGGATTTTTAAATATGTAGTGTTGTCTTGTTGTTTGGACTCATTATCGATTGAGGAATTTGAAATATGCATCGTTGACGTCTTCATTCGATTTTAAATTCTAAATTAATAAAAAAATAATTTATTAATAAATTGCGCTAAAGAACTAGGGAATGTTAATGTTCTCAAATTGACCGACCCAAACTAAACTACAATGTTAAATAGAATGGTTTCGTGTTTTCAAAACTGAAAAATATAAATCAAACCTAGAAAAAAAAATGGTCCCGAACTGTAAATCAAAATTCCCACCCCTAATTTTAGGTTCTTTTAATTACTATAAATACAATTCCATTAAGTAAATTAACAAGTTTATCAAGATATTATTGCAGGTTCCTTAAATTACTATTGCAAGTTGATTAAGTCACTACTGCAAGTCCTTTAAAAAAAAAATGTCACTACTACAAGTTCATTAAGTCTTTTATGCTCGTGCATCAAAACATTATTAAAAGTTCATTAAATTACTATTGCATACTCATTAAGCCACTATTGTGGGTATAGTAAGTTATCATAGGTCATCTGTATTATTAATATATCACACATTTATTATAAGAACATATTGAAAAAATATATCAATATGAGTGAATATAAAATAACTCTATGAGATATTTTCAACGACATTACTTTTATAGATTGGTTTTATTTATACAAAAAGAAATAAAGAAAAATGTATTTAAGCAATGTTTAGTTTATTATATTGGCAACATGGCGAGAATAACCGTCTAAACAAATACACTGGGCAAACCTAGAGAGAAAGCCAACATTAAAATTTATAGATATGAAATCTGCACTAAATTGATAGATATGAAATCTTCCATTGCCGGGAATCGAACCCCGGTCTCCTGGGTGAAAGCCAGATATCCTAACCGCTGGACAACAACGGAACGCTTCCATGGATTATCTGTTGAAAATCATCTTTTGAAAATTATTAACTTATAATTGTATGGTTTACATTTCAAAACCATCAAAGCTAAGTTGCAGTGAACGTGGATCGAACACGTGACGTTCAGATATTCAGTCTGACGCTCTCCCAACTGAGCTATCCCCGCACCTCCTAGAAACTTTTTATTCTTAATATACGAACATTTAGCTTTTTGTAACCATAAGTTATTATGTTCCACATATTGCTTCGCATAGTCATTATTGCGTTTTCAAACTCTGATTAAAAGTTAAAATATAGCCACGATGATTACGTTCATTAGAAACAAACCGATTTCATTCCACTACACCAAACATCTCTATTGC